CTGGGGGGGGGGAGGGGGAGTTGTAGTTGAGTGAGTACAGAGTTTCCGTTTCGCAAGATAAAAAGAATTCTGGAGACCGGTTGCACAATAATCCACACTACTAAACTTCACACTTCAAAATGGTTAAGATGGTAAATGTTATGTTATATGTATTTTACCACAATTTATACAATTTTTTAAAAATTTAAAGTAATACCAGGTTAGTAGTGCCCTTAACCGCCTATAAGAAACAAACAAAACAAATCAAAACCAAAAAACAGGGAGAAAACTCAACCCAGGGCTCTTAATAATTTCCAAGGAATCTAAGATCACACTAAATTTTTTTATACAGAAGGAAATAACCTCACATGGACAAGAGCTAAAAGAATCAACAAACTAGAAAGTTAGAGTAAAAAAAATAATAGAAATTAGATTTATTAATTTATGCATGCATGTATATTATTTTTTAACATTTGAGTTGAAAACATGTTGAAGGGGAAAAATGTGTCAAAATTAACCGAGCAGATTTGAAAAGTAACAAATGAAACTAATAGAAATAAAGAAAAAAACTATAGTTCTTAGCATTATAAACCGAATCGAGAGTCTAAGCAACAGATTGCTTTCACTGGAGAGAGAAGCAATAAATAGGAAGACAGAATGGAGAAAATTACAGTTCAAAGATGAAAATGGATGGAAATATGAAGGTGTTAAGAGACATGGAAGACAGGTAATTAGATCTTACATATGTCAAGTTGGAGTTTATGATGCAAATATAAAGAAAATATGAAGAAGCAATATTTGAAGAGACAAGGGCTGAGGTTTTCCAGAAACAATGAAAGATACATCCTCATGCCCAGGAAGCACCCAATTTAGAAATAACTGTAATGTATTATTAGTCACACAGACACTGTGTTAATTCCTTAATCAACCCAATCCAAAGGCTAGTGTGTAGCCTGTGTAACATTGTTAGGCTTATTCATGAGATTAACTCCAGCCAACATCTGCTTATATAGTCAGCTACTTTGCTGTCCCCTACACGTCCAATCATCCATAATCATCTGGGCGCTTGCACTAATTTGTACATAATCTGCTTACCTATCAAGGTGCGACATAACTGTCTTGGAGATGTCCATACCTGCTTCTTGCAATATTCGGATAATCTGAAAGGGTGCACTTGGATTCCTTCCAGGATGAATGATAACAGGACAGCCAAGCTGGGCCTGGGCATGAGCTGCTGCCTGAAGAACTTTTCTTTCGCTCTCAGCCAGAGGCCAGGAGCAACCAATTTCTCCAATGACGCCACACTTGACACTGGTTCCATCAGCTCCATGGAGAACTTCATTAATGAGGACGTCAGTAAGCTTAGGAAGGGTGGGAATGAATATATGTTATAGACTGTGGAATTTCTCAACATAGTATCACCCAGTATGTTAATGAATGCGTTCTTTTAGTTACTGATTCTTCAAAAATGTATTCGTCATTCGTTCAATTAATGTTGGTCAAGGAGAAAGGCATTTTGCTGGTCAGATCTCAAATACAAGTAATTCTAAATCAAAGATTCAGCAGTATCTTACTGTGACTATTTATCAAGAAGCGTATGGCTTTAGGAAGCTAGAGGGGAAATAAAAAATTACTTAAGGAAAGGACATTCAGATGAGAGAGAAAAAATCAATAATTTAACCAGAGGAACGTTTAGACATAAAAAGGCTGCCTTTGAACTTACATCAACTGTATCAAGTAATTCTTTAATTCCCCCTTATTCATGCATTCTTTTATCCTATACAGCATAGAAAATTCACAGTATACAATACTCATGTTACATTGTTTTGGTCAGATGTATAGCTACTGCTAAGAGTAGCTGGAAGACTGTAATAGTTGACATCATGGTAGTCCTCAAGTGATGTAAATATATAAAAAGGGAAAGCCCTGACTGGAAAATAATGCAGGTAAAGTTTTGAAATACAAAGTATTTTAAAGATTAACTAAGTGTTTGCAAAAACTGCAGCTGACGTGCTATGCCTATCAAACAGGCAATGGAAGATACAAATGAATATCTATGTGTGTGTGTGTATATGTATATACATATATTTACATATATATATGTATAAANACAGGCAATGGAAGATACAAATGAATATCTATGTGTGTGTGTATATGTATATACATATATTTACATATATATATGTATAAACACATACATGTACGTCTAGAAAGAGAGCACATACACATGCCCAAAAGTTTTGCTGCTTATTTGTTTTTATTGTCCCTGAAAGATGTAATTCCTTATATCCATTCTTACTTAAGATCTTATGACAAAAACAGGGGAATGGATTTTCTTCCACCCCTCCTGTTTTGTAAAAGGAGAAGGGAACATATTGGCAAATGTGCCAAGTCTCTGCCTGCCAAGTTTCACCCTACAGTGAATTTTTATGACTGGTTATTATAAGACCCAGCAACAAAATCGAGGCCGCCTAACTGAAGCTTATCATGAAAAACTGAGGTTTACAAACAGGCGGGGGCACCGCTGCTGAGCAGGGACGCAGTGTCCACGAATCCGAGCATTAACACATTGGGTTCTGCAATGACCGGTGCGTTCAGATCTCCTTCCTCGATGCTTTTTCTTTATGAAACGAAATGTTCCTAACTTGGGTCTCAACTGGAAGATGTCCTCGCTCTCCAGCAAATTTGTGTAGAATGCCCAGCTACCTGTGAGCCAGTGACATTTCCAAATGTAGATGACATGTGGGGATAACGTGAATCCTGGCTATTGGGAATGTATGTATATCCAAGTATTGTCAAAGAATTTAGTTAGGGCTTTCTACCTGCTCCACTGACATGGCTCTGGTCTCTGGAGAGTGAGTGGCATCCACGTAAAAGCCAGCGCCGGCTATGATGTGGACACCGGTCTCTTCTGCGAGCCACTTCAAGGTCAGCACGTCCCGGCTAATCCCGGTGGTCGTGTTTTCCACCAAAGCCCCTCCACCTTTGGCTTTAAAATACAGCAGCTCTTCCTTGATTGCTTCCTTCTCTTGATTCAACTGAAGGTTCTCTCTATGGGAGTAAGGGTTCTTCTGAATCCAAAACAAATTTTTCATCATAATGGGCTCCTTAGAGACAGCGTCGTGAGACGGAGGAGGTGGGTCGTAACAGCAGTCAAAGGTCATTGTCAAATGTTCGTGCGTCAGGGTGCGGCCCAGTTTGCTTGGCTCCAGCAGTCCCAGGACAGTTTGGACCTTGCCGCTTAAGGAAGACATTTCTGAGGGCACCTGGAGATGCTCTAAAAAGAGTGTTTTCTGGAAAGAAACAGAACGATAATCAGAAAATTTAACACATACATAAATTCTCTCCATAGGGGAAGGGAGGCTGTGGACGTGCACCCGTGGAAGGAAGATCAGTGAAACTAGAAATACGACTTCACTCTTTGTCCCGCCAGCATCCGGGCCTGTCCCTGTGAAGACGTGAGTGCACTGCAACGCTCAGTGACATGTGCGGTGGTCAGTGTCCCCGGGTCACTTCCACTGGGACTCCTCCGCCTGATTAAACCCCAACCTCATCTACTGGCAATGTCTCTTGATATTCAATTCATATTTTTCTTTTGCTTAATTTTATCTCATTAGTCATAGCTGTGCTTCCTTGGATAATTCAACAATAATCTCCATTAAAAAACCTTTATAATCAATGGCATATCAAAACCAGCCATCAAGTATGGAAACTGTCTCATTTGTCATTTTCCAGCTAAGTTAAATACACCTGGGCTACTGAGCGGTCCCTTCGCCATTTACTGTCCAACGGAACAAACTTTTGTTGAAGGTCCACCACGTGCCAGAAACTGAAGACAAAAAGGAAAATAAGACAAAATCTCTGACCTTGATGATTTCACAGATTATTCCCCAAAAGACAATGGGGGTGGGGGCGGGAGTCGGGGCAGAGCACACGCAGGTTTAATGTTGGAAAACCAAAAGCAAAACCAAACAAACCTCTTCACTCTCGATGTTTTTATTTTGTCTATGGCACAGAGTCAGAAACACACTTTAAAAATAAAACTAAAATCCCTTCGTCATAATGAAAGCAACTATGACTTACTGAAACTGAAACCTGCCCTCTCTAAAAAGACTAAATGCCTCTCCATTTATCCTGTATTTGCTTTCATTTGGAACACAAGTTAAGTTTTCACCAAATTTCTGTTGTTGACAGCAAGAACCCCAACCCCGGCGCTTTCATTTGAAAGTACTTTTCCTAAATGAAAGGACTTCACTTGGAAACAAACAGGTGCTACCGAGAGTGGTGGCCAAGAGCAAACCCTGTGTTCCTTCCACACAGAGCCCCAGCCAGGCCCACTGAGAGGACAGTGGAAGAAAAACAGACTGGGAACTGGGGAAAAGACAATGCCTTTGGAAGGGCCCAGAGGGTTCATCTAAAAGACACTCTGAAATCGCTTTTTGCCACATCCTTCTGAAGACCTTGTCTGACTCTGAGCATCCATTTTCTCACTTGTAAATCAGAATAACAGTGCACATTTCACAGGCTTTTATAAGAATTAAGTTTGGTACCACAGACAGAAAGATCAGTAAACGTGTCTGGCACATAGCACACGTTTGATAAATAGTAGCTTTGTTTTGCATGTATCTCCTAGGTTATTTCTTTTCAGAGGGAGTGGGTGATTAGAGGGGAGCATTTGGGGTATAAGACAAATTTATGGTGGTCACGGTGCATACATAAGGCAAGGTAGAAACAAGTCAGGGTTGAGAAAAGGGGACTGAGTTCAAGTCCAGTTATATCAAGCCACTGCAGTTATGTGGAACCCAGGTGTTTGATACATATTGGTCTACAATGTGTAAATGATTGATTTAGACCATTTGACAGAGAACTTAGAACTTGGGGCTAGCATGGCCATTTGTTTTTGTTGATATGGTCTTCAGGAGGCCAAGCTTCCAATACCTAAATAATTCTCATGGTGTCTGTGATGAAAGGAGATGGCATCTGTTTAGAGAACCACATGTAGCTGCCAGTCACTACACAGGGCATAGTTTTCACCGACGATGTCAAGGATTTCTGTTCAACAATGCCTTACAGAGAGCAAGGACTACGCAGCTAGTTCCTCCAGTTGATGAAACCACGGTACCATTAATAATCAATTCAACCTTCCATGGGGATGCATTTGCTCTTTCATTCCTTCTGGCTGATGGTCTTACACATACGTTCCTGGAGGGTTACTGGGGCCTGACACTTGAACAAATTGATAAAACACCATCACTTTTCCTAGAAGAGTGCCAAACTGCATATTTAATTGATATAAATTTGAAAGAGCAATGTTGGTAAGTTTCAAGCTTCACAAGCTGTGAGTCTTTGTGAAAGAAAACAACACCAAAAACCCTTAAGAAATGTCATCTCTTCTGGAAATTTCCTCCAAACACTCTCAGGCAGAACTAGTTGGAGCTCTATGATAAGACACAATGTATACAGAACAAACTGCGGCCACGATGGCTCTAAGCTGGAATATGTCTTTCAGTGGGATAAGATGTGTTTGTAGAACTCGTGGTTACTGTGCAGCTAGGGGGCAGCCTTTGGGCCACATCCACCCTGCAAGCGGTTCTCTTCTCGGTGGAAACGCCAAGCTGTTAGTGGCCTTCAACCGTAGGGATGAGAGTTCACAGAACAAGGAGGACAGTACTGGACAATGACAGCTGCAGAGTGCAGCTGTGCAGACAAGAGTGACTCCCTACAAAGAAAGCAGGCTTCAGGCATTCTGTGGAAAACCCATGGGGCACCACTTCATTCAGCATTAGGACACACAGAAGGTAGTGAGAAAAGGGTTAGCAGGAGCTATAAATACGGCTGCCACAGTTTTTGCTGCACTTCAAATGTGAAATCTGAGCAGTCAGAGAGACTGAGGATAGGCTGCAATCACTATTACAGCCTCGTTAAAGGAAACAGCCCTTCTGATTCCAATGGGTGTAGAATTGTTATTGTTGAGGTGCTCTCTGTGTCCCCACCTGTTGCTGGTGGAAGTGGGCTTCTTGCGATGTTACAAGAAAAGGAATTTTCTGAGACTCCCATGGGCAAAGGAGTGATATTTATTTATGTGGTTTCCAAGGTCTCATCTCCTTCCATCCCGCCAAGGAGAAAGTCCAGCTGCGTCTTCTGCAGAGCTAGGATTAAAGCCACTGCCCAGAGTCTCCCTTCCATATTGAAGCACAGTCCAGTTCAGCATCTGGGTAAGTTAGTTTGTGTTCCCAGTTGCAATCCATTGTATGTGGGGTCCACATGGCCTTGGGCCATGTGGCTTCTAGGGACACAGGCAAGTGCAAGAAAGCAGGAATAAAGCCAGAGGAACAAGAGAGAGAGTTCCTTTGCCTGGGGATTATGTATTTCCAACTTTTTGTGGGCTTGCATTGGCTCCACCTCTCTAGCCAATGATCTTTGTTTCCAGGTTAGACTAACAGGTAAGCACCTACCCTACGTCACCCCAACTTCACTGTGCACGTACCCATCTCCCTCTTTGTGTTATCCCTTCCCCCCAGGGATCTTCAGGAAATGGACCTGGGGAGTGTGACATTGCAGCTTCCTGGTGAAGCTGCCCAGATGACCATGCTGATAATTCCTGACTTTCCCTTTGCTCCTTCCTGTTATTAATAACTAGCTAATTACAATGGTACCAGAATCAAAAAAGAACACAGAACAGAAAAAGAAAAAAAGAGGAAAAAAAAGGAGAGAAACAGAAAATAGCACTGAACTGAAAACCAGAGACAATATGTAGGATTTGTGAGTTTTGAAAATATGTGCATGAATTCACTTCTATAAAATACATACATTTACCAAATTATTGGAGATTTGCTGGTGGGTGAGTAGTCTGGGGCCAACTTTGTTTCACTGAGATTTCATCCTGGCCATTATGCTTGAGATTTTTATTTCTACTTGAATTGAATATCCATTTTAATTACATTTCACATTTCAGAGGGTAGGACTTCCTGAATATCTTACATATGAATGAGTGGAATTCACAGACATATGCTCTTTTCCTGTCCCTGCTTCTGCTGTATCCAGTCCTAGACCTGGTTAAAGGACTCTGCAGTTTTTGATGCAATGGTCAAATCAGCAATTTGATGTTTGGTGAATTGGTTTTGTTGCCAGACTAAAGTGCATCAAAGCCCAGTAAGACACGAACAGGAGGTTGCAGCAAAGAAAGTAAGGGTTTATTTTTAGGAAGTGACCCACACCTGGAGATACAGTGACTCACACCTGGAGACAGAGGGGCTAATGCTCAAAGACTTAGCTCCCTGATGGCTTCCAGGGGATGGGTTATACAGGGAAAAATTTTTAATCATGGTGACTAGGGAGTTAGGGTCGTGGTCAGGGTCATGGTCTCTACTGATTGACTGGCCCTAGGTTAGGAGGCAGTTGATCATTGCATCTGGTCCTGATGTCAACAATGGCATTGCTTCGCTGGTTCCGCAGTTTTTCTGGGCCTGGAGCTGACACACAACTGAAGCCTAGACATTATCTCTAGTTTGACCAAAGCTCTGTCTCTGTGGTCAACAGACCCAGGCTTTGTTCCTAAGATTATTTGATGCTGATCAGAACCTCATTGTCCTGGGGGCCTAATGATGAAGAAGTGGACATGCAAGGGAGAAGGAAGCAGGTGAGTCAGGGTGCTGGGTGAAGCCAGTTTGAATCAAAGGAAAGAAAGGAGAAAAGTTCATATTAAAGAAATGAAGTTTCTATGCGGTTACACTTTTCAGTTCACTTCCCTAACAACTGTACAAGCTCTAATCCCCATAATAAATCCTTCAGTCCATTGCACTTATTGTTTTCCTTAAAAAATGGGAAAGCATTCCAGAGTTGTGTGCAGGAGAGGGCATGAATTGGATAATCAGGCAGCCTTGTGGAGAACGGTCAGAAGACTGCTCAGTGGGTGTTGCTAGAATGTGGAAGAAATCAGGTGGTGCTTTGGTCTGAGATGCCATCAGTGCAGACAGTGAGGAAGCAGAAGCAGTAAGAGGTACAGCAGATGGGAGTTTCTAACTGGACTCGCTGGTGTTATAAAAGTTCTCCCAAATAAATGGACTCCCATGAGAAAAGTGCCGGCTGGTGCAAATCTGTGGGCACTTCTATTTTTAACATCTTTTGGGCTGCATCACACAGAGTGGTGGCACTCTACGAACACTGAGCTTAAAGCTGACATTTGATTTGTAATCAAAACATTTTAAAAACTACCCAGTATTTTTTAAAGCTTGTTTGAATATGCGATGTGCAGGTTCAAACCTGTGACATGTTTCCTCTCAAACAGCATTGGCCCGGTGGCTGAACAGCAGTGACACAAT